ATGGAAGAGGAGGAGGATCTTGCAATGATCCTAACTATGCACATCAATAAAAAACCGAAGCACGGTGGTTCGGCTATGGATCGGCAGAAAATTTGGAGGGATAGGATCGATGCCCACAACACATTGATGAGGCACTATTTTGTGGAGAATCCCACATACCCCGAGTCATACTTTCGTCGCGGATTTAGGATGAGCACCGAGTTGTTCAGGCGCATTGCAGAGAAACTAGCGAGCCATGACCGTTTTTTTTCAGCAGAGGAATGCTGCCGGAGAGCTTGGGCATAGCACCTTTCAGAAGGTGACAGCCGCTTTGCATATGTTGGCATACGGTATCCCCGCTGATCTAGTTGATAATCACTTGGCCATGGGTGAGAGCCAAGCCATCATGTGTGTCAAGCGCTTCGCAGTCGGAATTGTGCAAGTGTTTGGCCCGGAGTACTTGAGATCTCCCAATGCTGAAGACGTTGCAAGGCTATTGGAGATGAACAAAGCCCGCCTTCCACCGGGCGCTGGCGTGGTACAGATGCTAGAGCCGGCCATCCAACGTTGTCCGCATACATTTCAACCACTGTTTCAACTAACCAGACGAAATTCATGCAAACACGACGGATATTCATATAAACTGGACGAAATTCATTACATTCAAACATTTTTCGTTACAATTCAAACACGTATAACAAAAAGAGCGGCCCAACCCTAAACCTATGCTACGGCGGCGGTCGACGTCCACTTCCTCTGTATTCCCTATCGGCGACCACGTCCTCCATCTGATGTCTCCATGAACGGTTGCGGGGTTCAAGACCCGTGAGATGGATGTGCGTCTCCGGCGGGGAAGAGTACATCACGGGAGACGGACCGGTCCACTTGGGACACAATGTACTGCCACCTCCCATGCCCTAGTCATCCTCGGAGGAGTCCGCGACCTATCTGTCGCCGACGCCAGTGGACGTGAGGTCGATGATCGACGTGGAAGGTTCGTCATTGTCCACATGCCACATGCACCCCGAAAGTTGGACAGCAGCACATAGGACGCGCGGCTGGCGGTGTTGGAGTACTTGGACCGCATCGCTGCTAGCGCGTGTGGCTCCGGCTGCGCCGGATCTATGTTGTGAGCGGCACCTTGAGTGTGTGCGGCCTCATAGAGTGCCCGCTGCCCCGCAACAAAGTTCGAGTTCACCGCGGCCATGGCGGCCACGACCGCCTCGCTTGCGGGCTCGCCGTAGATTTGGCCCGCTGCCAGCCGGTGCTTCTCGAGGAGGAACAGGTTGTACCTATGCTCCTCCTGCGCCTAACGGAAAACCGACATAGGAGCCGGCGCCCACAGCCTGGTGCAAAAGAGGGGCGACACCTGAATTGTAGCCATGAGGTCAATGCCCGAAGAGGCGAGGTCGGTGACCCACCTGTACTGGATGGTGTTGCTGTCGGAGAGGATGGGGGGGGGGCGACCATGGTTCTGCCGTCGAAGGGACCGAAGGGGCGTCGAGGGAGATAGAGGGAGTGTGGTGTGAAAGGTTGTGGGAGGTGACCGGAGATGAAGGAGTCCGAGTCGTCCAGTCGTCTCCCACGCTTCCAAATGCATGTCGCGTGACGAGCATGTGTCCCTCAAGCGAGTCTGGCTCGCCAAACACGATCAATTCAGTCATTCCCTCGTATGCAGGCCTAGAGATGCTTTATGTTCCATGTGGCCCGAGAAACAGATAACCCAGACAACCAAATAGACCGTTTTCATCCCGCGCAGTCTGGTTGGCCTATAGGCAAGCAAACACGCCGTAGCTAGATGAGACCAGCCGCATGCATCCTACCTTGCCAAGTCGGTTCGATCCCGGCCGGCGTTCTATACAACGTTTTCTATTCTTCACTGCATACTTCCGGGACGGGAACGTTTGGTTCTCGGATGTAATTACGTCAAAAAGAAGACGCCCCCCCCCCCCGAGCCCCCGCTCCCAGGGGCGACTCGGGAGGCGGAACCCTAGCCGCCGCCCAGGCTCCCCTCCTTCCCCTCCCTCCCCTCGCCGTCTCAGGAGGATGCCGGCGGGCAAAGCCCTCACCAGTGGACGGCGGTGGTGGGGCCCTCGTTCGTGTGCTCGCGCGCCTGCTGGGCGTGCTGGAGCGGCGGGAGCGCGCGGTGGCG